TGCCCATTGTTTGCTAGGTCAGCCTTTGACCTCTCTGGGACCCTGCACTGGATAATGAGGCTAGAAACTGGATGGATGCATCTACATGTATCTACAGTGCCCTCCAGAATTATTGGCACCCTTGGGAAAAATGAGCAAAAAAGACTGTGGAAAAAATGTCTTTGCTGTTTATCGCCTTGACCTTACACTGAACATCTGAGAGAAATCTAACCTTTCAGTGAGGTAAAAGTATTCAAAGAAAAGAAAAATCCTTATAAAAAATAAACAGTTTGATAAATAAATAAAATAGTTTGGGTGCACTGCTGAAAGCACTGTATGATGCAATATCATTAATTAAATCATGTTGTTATATTATGGGATCTTTGACATGGTTTTTCCACATATGTGCCAGTAATCTGAGTTGGATCCTCCTGAACAGTTTTAAATTCATGAAATTGTTTCATCTCGACACATCAAATTTGGCATACACGCAACGAAGATGGCAGTTCAGCTCTCAACAACACAACTGTTTCAGTGTTTTCTTTCACTTTTATATTTGCGTCAGTAGGCCTTACCATAAGAAGAACCCTTTGTTCATTTAAATTAGTCTTTTGAGCAGTGTTTGGATTTATACTGTCACGCAGAACTGTGAAAACCACCGGATATCACTCTAGATACAAATCAATACTCATCTGACAACTCAGTGCTGTTCAAAGTCTATCAGGTTCCATGCCCAGTAAGGGCAGCACGTTCCCATTTAATAATCTGAAGTGTAAACTGAGTATAAAAAGCAGAGCCAGTGTTTCATTGTGGATTTGTTTCTACACCAGCTACAGACACGCTCCCTTTGTCTAGGACTTGCTGTTACAAGACCGATGAGAAAAAGAGTTAATTCTCACCATCATGCGAGCCTTAGCTACAAGTTTCTAAAACAAAAGCCTAATTCTCCGCTCATACCACAGCCTCCAGGCAAAGTACTCAGTGCAAACATGCCTGACACAAACGATCTTCCTTTCTGGTGAGCAGGAAATTGTAGTTTTGGAACTCTAGATTACAGTTTCTAGATGCCCATCACATCTTTTGCTATGTAAATAATCCACTACATATTAAAAAAAAAAAACAATAAATGCAAAACTGCTTAAGTTAAACCTGTTGCAGTTTCTAAACTGACAAGAAAGAAAAGACTAAAGACAACATTTTATAATCTATTGGCTAATCTAAAAGAATTATGTTCCCACAACAAATGTAGATCAAATAGCATCCATATTAGTGTGGAGCGGTGGCTCTCTGGCTAAGGATCTGCACCTGCGGCTGGAAGGTTGCCGGTTCAAATCCCACTGCCGTCAGAGGAATCCTACTCCATTGGGCCCCTGAGCAAGGCCCTTAACTCCAGCTGCTCCAGGGGCGCTGTACAATGGCTGACCCTGCGCTCTGACCCCAAGCTTCTCTCCCTGCCTGCGTGTCTGTGTCTCATGGAGAGCAAGCTGGGGTATGCGAAAAGACGAATTCCTAATGCAAGAAATTGTATATGGCTAATGAAGTGATCTTCTCTTATCTCTTATCTTATATAGTGCTCAAAGCTTCATTGTCTTAACTGATGAACTGGATTTTGTTGGTGAAGACAAAACAACTCATAAAACATACCTTTCTTTTTTTGTTATTGTACGCTTCTTTTTGCCAAACTGTAATTGATATCCCCACCTCTTCTAATGTTGTATCTATTATCAGTGAGACATCCACTTTAAAAACTATTCAGAAATGCTCTGGAGGACTTGTAGCAGACACTTCAGTGAATTAATATTTTTGCTTTTGTTTGTGAAACTTGAAATTATGAGTCGTTATCCCCTCCAAACAAATATGTAACTGGCAAAGCCCCATTGTATTTGCCTATGCAAAGGCAGATTCCTCAAGCAACCCACACCTAACTTGTCTTTTTGGGTGTACTGGAACTACGAGACTGGGAGTTTCCGTAATTGTGCAAAGTCAATGTATACAGTAAAAAGAATAACAACAGAGAAACATGCCTCATTTACACAGCCTTTTACAAAACCTCCACTATGGGAACTTAACAGTGCAAGAATCATATTCAAAAGGCATTTTAATCTGCATTTTAAGACTATTACTTTTTATAAATCTACACACCAAACAATGTATCTTGATGGTTCACAAAAAAACAGCGTGAAGGCAGAAATACTGTTTACCAGTAGCACGGAAGACTATACTGGGTGTTTGCTTTAGTCCAAAGAATCAGCTCTTGAAGAAGGGAGCTGCTAAACTGGAGAGTGTGACAGTATAACTGACATGAATTACAACAAAAAGTGCAGTGAGCAGTAAACCACACTCGTACAGTTTGGATAAACCTTTAATTATATGTCTCTTGGCAGACAAAAAACAATTAAAAGTAATGATTGTGACAGCCATCGTTATAGATCAATCATGAAAGCAGTCAGTTGTGTAAGGGAAGAGCATGAATATGCACTGAAATGAGATAACATTTATCTAATTATGATGAGATTCTGTTGCTAATATTGTTAATATTAATTATAGAATAAGAATAAGAACAACACAGCTACAATAATAATGTTGAAATGCAATGCTGTCTCATGAAAATGCAATATATTTTCTCCACGGTGCTGACTGGCCTCCATGACAGACTGCAGAACGAAGGGAAAAAAGTTTCTTATGATTTAATGTCTTCATCAAGCGAAAAATTCAAAATGAAAAGGCCGTTCCAAAGGTTCTGGTTAAATGTTTAGCAAACCATACCAGTTTCATTTTCTAAAACATCAACCCCTGGTGTAGTGAAGGAAGACACACTCATTTAGGACTAAAAACATTCCCATAGTCCCACGCTTATCACGTGCAAACATGAATTGGTTTCCAACCTTCCAATTTAGGAATTGTGAGTTAACGGAGTCATAAAAACAGGACTTACGGTAAAAGAAAGGGATAAATTCCACAGTCAGAGGAGCTGCTTTGTACTTCTGCCTGCTCTTCTCCACCGTATTAACCTGCACCCTGCGAGAACATCGGAAGATTTGTTGTGATATGAGGCACAAATGAAACTTTCTGTGTACAAAGTCTTCTTGAGGTGAACAGCCATTCTGTGAGGGGAATGTGCCCCACACATCACAGACCGCATGTAAATTTTCCACATTCCTCTCAATCAGGGCTTGATCAACAACAATTCTATTGAAATGGAGGAACCAGTTTGAACCATCAGAATTTCCCCACACAAATTTCACAGCAAACATTAGGACTGCAACATTTTGGGGATTTAACACTGGAGGCATTTGCATTCTTACAATATTTGACAAATTAAAGTCATTAGCAGCATGACTGGAATAAAGTCATGAGTACTTTGCAAAGGTTTATACAACAGATGGCATCAATAACAGGTCCCATGACTGAACCAAGGACCAATAAACCAATTAGTTGGACTTGTGTTACTAGTAAAGTTATGAAAGCAAAAGATACAGCTGAATAAGAAAAATACACAGAAAAATGGCATTTTAAGAATTGAGAAAGCAAAGGCCTTGTTTAACACAGTGGAATACTTTGAACACATAACAAGGACAGAAGCATATGATGTTGTATATTTGGAGCCCATAACATTTTTATAAAAGGTCCCTCATAAAAGGTTAATTCTCGAAATAAAAGTCACAGGACTCCAATATAATGTCTACACATTCATTTGCAAGTTTAACTAACAGGAAGCATCACATAATCCCAATATAAGCGCCATAACCTCTATACGGGTGAATGTAAACAAGCCACGTATGGCAGGGGTCTGTTTTCAATTATTTGTTCTTTCCGATCTGTACTAACGATTTCAATTCTGGAAACCATCACATCAAGCTAGTTCAGATTGCAGGGAATTCAGGAACTGGGGAAACCATAATCACAACGAGTGGCAATACTTCAATGTTGTCACACATGGAGCAGACAGGTCGTGAATAAGCAGAACCACTCCTGGACTCAAGGCATTGTCATACTGTATACAGACAGGTCAAAGGAACTAAATCTCTTCAGTCTAGAAAAATAGAATTTGAGAGAACATTTGACCCAAGTGTCTAAAACATGAAGGCTTATAGATACAGCCAAGCTGAGGAATTAAATTGTTCAGTCAGTGGAAGGAACTCTTCTGCAAAATGTCTTTTTATGTATTTGATGAAGAAAATAGTTTTTAGATTACATTTAATTTGAAGGTCATTCCAATTATATAAGAAGGGTAGAACTACGGCTTGGCAAAGCTTTCAATAAAATAATGCACGAGTTTGTAGCAGACTTTACTGAATGATTAAATGTGGGTTTTTAAGGACACAGGCTTCCAATGACAAAACCACAGTTCTGATAAACAGCCAGAGCTATGGACACTGGCAGAGAGTGATGTAATTTTACAAGTAACTGCCAACATCCCTAAAAGGCAGCAATAAGTTTGTTTTTTCTTTTCTGCCCCTCTGAAGGAAAACAGTTGCACATTGTTCATGGCTTCTAAGCCATTCGAAAGTTAGGAACTCTGGAAATCTACAACTCAGGATACAAACTGAAGCCTTAACCTTCGGTAGATTCTAACAACGCATTAACCAGAAAGTAGAAACGTTGAAAAATAGTTCCCCTCAATTTGAAAATATGTTCTCTCACTTTCATATATATTTTGTAGATTCAAAATGACTTTTCCCATACAGATACGCATCCATTGGATTTTAAGTTCAAGTTCAACTACTGTATTTCTGTTTCATTTAAGTACAGTATATGAAAAAAAGAACACCAGAAGCCTCAGATTAACTTCAATAAAGTGTGAAAAAAAGTTAAGCTTAAAAACAGAGAATAATACTGCTTGAAAGTAATCAGGAAAAGTCACAAGATATGTTTAACTAATGAACACCCAAGAGAAGAGTGGAGATATATATATTTTCAGAGGCAAGTCTTTGATAACCCTAAAATACCAGAAAGAGCCATAGTGTAAGATCTGCAAAAGATACTTAATATAAAGAGAGTTAACATACCCCGACATTCGGTGCCTCCAGTTATAGTAGGGGTCATAGAGGCTCTCACAAAACGCGAGGGCATGGCGCACAAACTCCTCTGCTGGAGTCTGGTCTGCTAGCTCTTTTTCTTTGGTCTTGCTCTTCAGCTGCAACACAAGTAACATGAAAAGGCAACATTTTCAGACTGGCTTGTGTAAAAAATTGGTCCCGATACGAGAATGTTTGTTTGTGTCTGTGTGTAACCTGCGATGGACTCCTGTCCAGAGTGTATCCCGCCTTGTAACCCACTGCTTTCCAGAACAGGCTCCGGCCCACAGTGACCATGAACTGAATATGAATACTGAAAGTGATGTGATGAAGAATTGGTACTGGTCCCCCTCTCCCGCAGCCAAAAATGCCTGCAGTACCCCTCAGGTGTCCACCATTTTAAACAATGCACAATACACAGAAACATCAGCATCAACTGAAGGAGAAAATCACTATAACATCTAGGTTACAGAAGCTCAAGACGTTACAGGTGTTCACAGCACCCTGACTAGCTCAAATTACCCTGGAGGCATTTATTCATTTGGGGAAACTGCATTCAGTTACTGAAGGTAAACGACCTACAATGTTTGAACTGATGTGAACAACATACACTCTGAAGCAGGGTTTTGCTGAGCAACTCTGAAACCCCGTGCATTTGCCTTGGTAAACCATAATTTAATGTTAGATTTTATGTTTTACGAAACTAGAGGGCATCATTTTTGTCTACATTTCTCATCTTTGTCCTGCTAAGAACATAAAAATCACAGCTTGTCCAATCTAAGGTTCCCACATACATCCATTTTCTAACTGCTTCTTCCAGTCCTGGGCTGTGGGGAGGGAGGGAGGCTGGAGTCTATCCCAGCAAGCAACAGAGGCAGACGTAAAAACAGACACACTCACGCCAGGGCCAATCTTCCCAGTAAATATTACTTTGGGCTGTGGAAGAACACCAGAGCACCCATGCAAACACAAGGAGAACATACAGAAAAAACTCTACACAGACAGGAACCCAGGTCTGGAACCAAACCCAACACTGAATAGCAGCAAAGCTAACCACTGGATCACTGTGCCGCCCATCAACGAATCACCTAATACTTTTTCCACGAAAAACCAAATTTTGTTCTACACTAACTCGCTTATATTCTGTGGGTTAGGTTTCCCATGGACTTTAAACCACATCAGAACAGTCAATTCAATTTCAATTCCAAAAACAGGATTTAGAAGTTCCAGTTTTCATAACCAGGAAAGCATTTGAACCAGATAAAGCCTGTTTCATGACACAGCTTTTTCTAAGGAGGTAAAAATTCAGCTTTTACGGTTACAAGCGAATGAATGAACATTCATGTATGTTGCTGAACATACATATACTGGACTAAAATCAGGTACCTGATGGACCTTGCTAGCTTACTGAAAAGGTCAGAGGTTTCTCTCTAAAATGCTGATTTGATTTCTTTGATTTATAAAAAATGAAACAAAGTGTTTTGCAGTCGAGCAAGTTTTAAAAGACATCCTACTGTAGGGAAACGATATCTAAAAACCGCAATATAGAACACTTCATATCGGCCATCACTCACCTGTTGGATATATAACGTTGTCATGGTGATGATGTGGTTGATATATGAACAAGTCCCAATCTCTTCCACATTGGAGAGGTTTCTAATAATGAGAAATATGTTTTCACAACAACTTCGATATGACACAAGGCGAGTGCAGATTCTGTAAGCACCCGCTTCTGCGTAAATACTTCATTCAAGGAATAAACTGAAGAATTCACCACAACCATCAGAGACAGGTCAATCAATATTTGTGTAGCTTGCTTTCATTAAATTGTTGTCTTAATCACAATGCAACAGTCTCATAATGTAAAAATATCCCAATAGATTGGAAAAGAAAAAAATTGAACTGTGGAATTCTATTAAATTCAAGAATATAGATCTGGCACTACTGAATATCGCTATATAAATCTATACAAATAAATTAAAGAGCATATCAAGACAGTCGCATTATTTAAAACGGTTCAAAGGGTACCTGTTGAAAAGCCTCCATTTTTACCTGCAAATGACAATGAGGAACTTGACCAACAGGAGAGCCAGTGTCTGCTGCTCCTCTTCCAGTCCATCAGACACTTTCTGGACACACTGGAGCAGCTGGTGGCGCATGACCTGCAGAATGTTGTCTGGAAGCAGGGACATCACCGGAGGGATCTCTTCCAGCCTTGGAACACAAGACACGCCGAGCACATTGGACACATTTTCAGAAACGAATCGCCAAGAATGAACCCCCACAACTTGAAACAGGGAGATGGTTACTCATCACTACTGAGGTACAGTCAGGAACTGTCATACCTACATAAGCCGTTATGACGATTACTGATCATAACTACTTACCTACTTTTTTAATTATGAGTATTG